GCTCTTTTTATAAACCAAAATCATCTCAATACTCATGTCAAATACTCCTATAACACAATTCAAATAATTCAGAGGACAATGTGAGGCAAGTCAGCACAATGATATTTATTTGGAAGACCTAAAGACATTAAACTAGAAGCATTTATTTACTTATACCAATTGTTCTCCAACTTTCCACAGAATATTTGAGGCAGAAGAAATCTGTATGGTGTGTCTGAATGTGGGCTTTACTTATAAACCAATACAGGATTACTAGTCTCCTCCAATCTATGAGCACTAAAAACAAATCACTATGGAACTAGATAGCTTAAGTGACTGGAAATAGGATATAGAGCTTTTCAGCTCTAGGTCACTGGTTTCTGTAAGCCACTGAACGGACGTCTTCAGATGCATTCTCCACTCATTCAGCTAATGAGATGTCTGTACAGTACAATTTCCATGATCCACAAGTAAAATGTTGTTATTACAACAGCTATCATAGAAGAAAGAGGATCAAAGAGTGGGTGGAATTGCCAAAAACACACGTAGCATTCTGAATACAATATATTTGGGAGTAAATCTGCTGAACATTGTGGGACCTTCTTGCATGTAAATCTGCATATAACTGTGCCGTCAGTTACCTTGGCAACTGTGACCAGCAAGTTTATAACACATAGTTTATTAGGAGGAAGGGACTACCATTTCCTTTTTCTGATTCTATCAGAAATACAGTACATTTTCTAAGCATTTTAGCCATTTACAGAATACAGATAGTTTAGAATAAGGGAAATGCTTCTGATTTTTAAATCAGAGCTCTGAAACAAAAGAGCAAAGGCTGTGACATCACCTATTACATTGGCTGTAATTATTTGCTGATATCATTCAAAGATGTGCAAGCATCTTTCTTTGTTCTCCAAATAATATTGCTATTCACCACCACCACCACCACCACCCCACCATGGGTTTCACTTGGAAATGTTCACGCCCCACATGGTGTACGCATAATGACGCCCAACACTTAATTAAACTGCTTATTCGTTTCGTAGAATTTCACTGCTTCAGCAAAAGATCTGGCAGAGGTTGAATAATGTGAGTAACTACTGCTGGTTGCAATGAAGCAATCAGCCGAAAGGGAGACACACCTATGCATGAGAATTAGATTTGTTCATGAACAAAGGGGAAAAAAGCAGACAGCTCACAGTAGTGAAGTTGATTACATGTCTGCTAAAGAACAGAAACTAGGAAAACATTTCAGCTGGGATAAAGAAATGCAGTATAATAACCTACTGCCTAATTCCCTTGAATGGGACAATGGTTAAATTCTAAGGTTGTAAAATAAATGTGAACGTGTTTGTGAAAGAGATGTGCAACACTCTAACCAATACTGGAAGTGATTTGCCATAAAAGAGGAGATGGAAGATAACGGATAACAGGAATGCCAGAATGCAATAAGTCCAGAACACACCCACAAGTGTCTGTTATCGAGATTAGCCTAGCAAACATCTTGTGTTTCAAAGTCTGTACTAAATGGTGATAGGAATCGGACAAATACTTGAAAACACAAACATGACTGTGTAATAATTCTTGCATTCTGCTTGACAGCCAAGCCAAACCAGAGCCTGGCAATTTGAAATGGATTTGGTATCATCAACAGAGATGACCTGGATCAAGATCCTAAGAACACATAGCTCTTGTCAAACTTCACAGTCTGCCACACACTGCAACAAAAATGGCTCCACATGGATTCTTCTGGAAGGAAGGAGGCAGTGCACAGAGGAACTCAGCTCTAATGCCACTGGAGTGATACCCAACAATATATATCCCTTCCTCCCCTAACAAAACTTGAGAGCTTCATGTTCCTGTCCTCTCCAGGAAGGCAGAAGGACCAGAATAATCCTGATCTAAGAATGTAAAACAACTATGTGCATGTACGTGAGAGAGATGTACGTGGTCTTCCAATCCTGTTCCCTACAGGAACAGCTTAGATTTGTAACCTTTCCATCTATATATTGTCAGTAATGTGATTCTTACATGCTGTGCAACCTTCACTAGTTATGTGTGCACAAACACATCTTAAACCCATCACACATGTGATTCTTACATGCTGTGCAACCTTCATTAGTTATATGTGCCAATGAGCCATCGTTTCCAATTCAGCTACCACAGAGAATTTCAGTTTATTCAAAATGAAAGTACAGTACCTGATTAAAATCTATACCACCAGGACATATAGACATAAAGACTTACATCTGAATACATGTTTAATATTACTGGTACATTATGTCAGACAGACATGGAACACTGTCTTTCTTTCTTATGTGTGCATAAGTGTTTATTCAAAACAGAAGAGGAAGAGCAACTCCCTGTGTCTCAAACAATTTTAAACAGGCAGTACACAAAACAAACATATTAAATAAGACATCAGTACTGTCCAAAGTCATTTTCAGCATATGATTAGCACAAACACATCTTAAACCCATCACAAAAGTATAATGTACACATCCTGCCCAGAACTACAATCTTACTGAGCATGTGGGGGCAATATGAACACTGCTTCCCCAACCCTTCCACCTGTCCTCTTGGATGGTGAGATGAAACATTCATAGTGGTCAAGAAAACACATGAGTATATTTCAGGAGCCCATATTCCTTCACAGCTAGTACTGAGATGCAGCCCCATTAAACAGTTATGGGAATGTAACCCCACCTACAGGAAGTCTGTATATGGCAGATGTAGATCACAGCCCAAGGAGAAAACCACTCAGACCTTTACCACACTTCAGGAAAACAACACTCAACATGAGGAGGGAGAAAAAAATAATTAATTATACCTCCTTTTTTTTTCTAAAACCAAGGCTGATTTAAGCCTCCATTGCTGCAGCTGGAGAAGCCATAGAACTATGCTCAGCTTTTCGCTTCTTTGGTTCTTTGTTCTTCTTAGTTCCAGAAAATGGGAAGTGCTGCATGCAAGACACTCATGATAATTTTTACAAAGCTTCTCTTTGAGCATAACCTTCAAATCAGTTGGTCTCCAAACTGAACTTAAATACTGTACAATGAATTTTAAAGAACAGTGCAAGAATTTGATGTGAAAGCTAAGCCAGTGAACAGGAAGGGGGATATACACAGGGAGTCATTAGCGGTATTCATGCTCTGTTTTCTTGCAAGGAAGTGAATATCCTTCTTTGTGCATAAGGTTTTTTAAGTTTTGCATTTGTATGTATATAACCTTTTCCATCTATATCTATACATAAGATGTTACTGTTAGATCCTGGTTCTGCTTGATTTTTTTTCTGCCACACAAAACTTTGGCTAAATACCAATTAATAAATCCCTGAAATTAATAAACAAGATCTTTTCACTCAGGGAGAATTCATGACTAAAAACTACACTTATGTGTTTTTTGGATTATCCATTCAAACTGCCAAAACAGCAAAGAACAAAAGAACTAACCAACCTCTGTCCTCTGAACTCTGTTATTTACAATATGTTATTTCTTTTCTAAAATAGACTGGCATTTCATTGATTAACAGGTGGCTTATTTGCAGCTTGACAGACTACCTCTGTTGTGTTTCATTATCTAAATGTACACTCTGAAGGCAATATCAGTTTAGTCCAGATTACTTACCGATTAGCACAGTTTAACCAAACTTGCATATTTAATCCTCACAGTAATAATTATGATATGAAAAACATGACACGTTCACCACTTTTTAATGCACTTCTGCAGATCTGAAGAGTAGATTCACAGTCTCACAGCTGGACAGCAAACCAGCAGGGCAGGTTACTGCCTATCCAAACCAAATGCATCTTTCCTTTTAATATACAGTAACTCCCTTTCAGTTATATTGTCATATTCAAGGTGAGAAGAATTTTAAGCAACATGTAAACTGTAAACTGAAAGCTCTACAAAAATGATTGCAAAAAATCATGATGAGCACTTCATCCTGATGTGCCTTTTAAATAACAGCTAATAAAAATGGCAGACACAGAAGAACAAGAGGTTATTCTATTTTAATTATTTTTGGAATGGTCATTTACACTGATGTAGGATATATACTTCCTAGCCTATATGGGTATTCCCCAGAATACAGGAAGGTATCAGACATACCATATCATGTAACAAAGAGTGTACATGCATACGTCTCACCCCTTCACTTAGACTGAAGGATTACAAGAATCAGATCCACAAATCCACTCCTACATCACATGGTGCTTTGCACGCACAAGAGGTGGGAGTGGCGCATTCATGCATGCCTTAGAGCCCATTGTGTGTGACCAAACTTGCATGGAGGCATACCTTAAAATGACACTGAAATCTGTTGACCTACAGAATTAAACACCTCCTATCTAGTACCACAAGCCATTCCGGTAAATTTATTTAAAAGGTGGGAAATACAAATTCCTGCAATCGACTAATCACATGCAAGAGGGACACTCCCCAGGAGGTCTGTTACTCTTAAGGTTTCTGAAACAGATCGACTGGTTGTGCCTAAGACGAATCAACGCCTGAGAGCCACCAGTTGGCACCTGTGGCATTTTCCAGGCATGTGCTCCTCTCTCTCTCTCTCTCTCTCTCTGTCCAGCAGCAACAGCTGTCACAGGCCAATCGCATTACAACACATAGAGCCAGGAAAGGAAAGCGCCTCGATCCAGCCCCTTCAGCTTTCCTCTCCAGAAGCCGAAGGCCATGATTATGACGCGGCCGGAGGGCAAGGGGGGCACAAAGAGAGAAAGAAGAGCGAACAAAGAAAGCGCAGGACGGCCAGGATGCGGAGAGGCACGCCTCACGAGCCCCCATCACTATCCCGGGAGCTTGCAAGAGCGGGCTCGGCCGGGGCTCACGACAGGCGGGAGGAAAGAGCCGGGCTGGTTTTTAATCTCCCTTCAGTCCAACCTGTCGCGTCTTTCTTTCCCACACGGCAAGCGTCCAGGCCTGCCCTCATGGCCGCCACACACAACCCCCGTCAGCACCCTCTTTTCTCCAGCGCCAGCCTTGCCGGCCGCCCCTCACTCATTTACCTTGGCTTTACCGGCCTCCAGCTTCTTCCTCCTCTCCTCGTCCTCCATGGCCCCTGCGAGGAGAGACCAAAGCGTTAACAAGCTTCAGGCGAAAAAATAAAGACGAGGGCCCCCTCGCGCCCCCTCAAGGCGCCGACACGGAAGCTGAGCCCCGGGCCTGACTGTCTTGCAGTCCCGTTACGCGGACCGAAGACTCCGCGACCGACGCACCGGCGCCGCCATCTTCGTCTCCACGTAAACATGCGGGCCGGGAAAAGTGACGTCCCTGCCACCCCCTCCGCCTCCTTCTTCTCCGCCTCCTCTTCCCTCCTGAGCGGCGTGGAGCTGCCGCCTCAGGGATGGGTTACGCGGGCCTCGCTTCCGCGGGTTGACTCGCGGGGCGGCTGCAACAACGGAGGAGGAAGGGGTTGCCATAGCACTTAGCGTCAGCTTCTTCATGACCCTTCACAGGCAGCCAACTTAGGTTTATTCTGAACTTCATGCCAGCTCGAGAACTTGACTTGGGATGCCAGGAATAGGTGCTGCTTAAAATATGTGTGGAGAGGTTTGGGGCCACGGTGTTGGATTTAAATCAGATTAGAAGTTTCTCTGAGCATGTCAATGCAATAAAATAAAGGTCGTCCTGCTGGCCCATGAGAAATGCCTCTGTGAGGACCAGCTAGCAGGAGTGCAAGCTCTCAAGTCCTCCAGAATTCTTCAGACGAAGTGTTAGAAAAGCGTGGGATTAAAGCAACTGGTGTGAAGACCTTGGTGTATTAGATAGGCCTTTGGTCTAACCCACACAAATTACATATGGTGCTTACATCATGAGAGACGGTGTGGCTTACTGGGTAGAGTGATGGACTAGAACTCAGGAGACCTGGGTCCAAATCCCTGGGCAGCCAAAGAAAGTTTTGTGTGTGTGTGGGTTTGGGTGTGTGGATCTGACAACCTCTTTAAATATCTCACATACCTTGAAAATCCTATTTGGGTTACTGTGAAGTCAGGTGCAATTTGGTGACTCCCAATAACAAACAACTACAGGATGGTTTTTCCAACATACATTACAAATTATTTCTTCCAGGATGAAATGTTTCTCCCTATATTGCTTTGTGATTCTGAGATGCTTTTATTTGCTAGAACCACTATGGTATGGTTCAGATCTATTATGCTAAGCTGCTGTTTCCTAATAATAAATGTACCTATTTAATGTGTCCATTTTTTTCTCTACTGTGATTTGTCAGTGCACAGACCTGTAATGTGGCATACAAATAAATACTATATTAGAAACATATTGGAATATACAGCACATAGATATATCTGTATTTAGGCATGCCATTAAAAGCAGCAGGCTTAAGTATGCCTTTCTCCATGATCTGTCCATTGAGTGTCCCCAATTTTAAAATGTTTTTGAATAAAGTCTATTATTTATTTAAAATATTGCTATCTCGTCTTTCTCTTTAAAAAGGAGATTGAGTCAGGCTAGCACATCGTTACATTGATACATTGGTATGCTAGTTTAGCGCTAGATCACCTCAGCACAGAAAAATTAAAAATTGCTACAAAATATAAACAATCCTGACAAAACACAGAAGACTGTATATGTTTCGGCAACATGTGTGTGTATACATTATTAATAACTTTGGAAAGGTGCTGCCCTTTCCCTAATATTGTACAACCCTTTAAAAACCAAACAGCTTGACAATGAACCATAAAAGGACAAGCAGAGACAAATAAAAAAGGAGGAAGGGTAGGCTGTGGGCTGAAATGTGGATCACACCATATTCTTGCATGGACACTGGTCACATGTCAAGCTGGTAATGGATAAATTACCGTAAAGTGTTCCACATATGTCTCATCATTAGAAATACATTTACCCTGACTCCATTAATTTTTAATCTTAAAATTAAAATTTATAACATTGTATCATATAGAAAAAGGCAATATAACATAGTTCCATAACAATATATAATCTTACAAGGCAGATCAACTGTGTTTATGAGCACAGGTATCATCCTTTTGATCTGTGGTTTAGACAGGTGTGGTTCGAACTTTATAGATTTATGAGGTTGCGATATGTAATGGGACTCATAGGTAATACTGTACTGAAATAGTACTTATCCATGGCTTACATCCCATCCATTTCAACCCTCATTCTGAAGCAAGTTCTTTTCAACTATGTGGTTGCTAATTATATTAAAGAACTGTCATCTGACACAATTTAAATGCTCTGCCTGTTCTTCAGAAATCACAACAGCATTAGCAAGATAACATTTGAGTTTCCAAAGGAACAACCCAACTTTTGAAAATGCCTCCAAATGTTTTTCATTTAACCTGTCATGATACATTATGAAGAACTGGAAATTTTCAAACATTGGTTTTGTTATAGCCTCTGTACTTAACTTGACTTTCAAAACAGATAGCCCTTAATATCAGATAAGACGTGTGATCCTAGAGAGCAAAGGAGGATAGCAAGGGAATTAAGTCTGAATCAATTACATCTAAGTATTGAGGAACACATGTGAGGATAATGCAGTTAGAATTTTTGTGAGAAAGGAGGTAAATTCTGTAAATAAAGTCATGCGGATATCCAAGGCTATTTCAGGTATGGATTGTATTTATAGTGAATCAACAAGTATCAAAAGTCGCCAGGATTCATTAAGGAGTAGCAGATTTCTTTACTTCCTGCTTGTAGACATCCTGTTGTAGTAGTTTCATTAGTCATTAATGTGTTGCCTCTTTTTCGTTGTTAAATTCCCATTTGTCATTTGGAAAGAATGGCATTACCACATGGATTAAAGGCCTCTTTCAGATAATTATTTTATTTGTTGAAATCGCATTGTACCCTGTGATGTACTGGGTAATCTAGACATGCACACTGTCCATTTAATCTTGGTGGAATTTGCCTAGGAAATCAAGCCAAAACGAAAGAAAAATAATATTTAAAAGACACCAAAAACATTGTGGCACCTTAAAGACTAACTCCTATATTTCAATGTGAGCTTTCCTGGTGTCTGAGGAAGTGGACTTGTCCATGAAAGCTCACATTAAAAGAGACCATTTTTTGCAATCTCCTCTTTCAACCTCATTAAGAGGCTCCTTAATTCCTCCTCACTTTCTGCCATCAGAGTGGTACCATCTGCATATCAGAGGTTGTGGATATTTCTTCCGGTAATCTTAATTCCATTTTGGGATTCATCCAATCCTTCCTTTCGCATGATGTATTTCTTAATATATGTTAAATAAACAGGAAGACAATATACAACCTTGTTGTACTCCTTTCCCAATTTTGAACCAATCAGTTGTTCCATATCCAGTTCTAACTGTGGCTTCCTGTCCCACATATAGATTT